GCCTCACTCGGGGGCTCCTCATGCCAGGGTCCCAGCCCAGGAAAGAGGAGTTCCCCAAAACTCTGACTGTCAAAATCAGAGGAGATTCTGGCCATCTGGGTGAGACAGAAGGAGACTGAAATCCTAGATGCCCTTTTCAATGGCCCACGCACAGGCTCTCTCACCTGCAGACACACACTCGGGGCACCGGTGGTGGGTCAGAGGCTCGTGCAAGATTTGTATGGGGAAAGACTGCATTACCTGGTGCCAGAACAAGGGTGGGACAGGCAGCCGCCATTGTGCCTTAGTCAGGCCCCACTCCGGGGCAATCTACAGACCCCGACGTATTGTTTTGTCAGAGATGTTTTTAATATTTGCAATTACAGTAATTTTTTTGTTATTTTTAATGTTTTTACCATTTATTCAGTCTCAACATTTTAAATAATTAAATTTAATCAATAATTTCTCTTTCTGAGAAATGCAAGTATTTTCAAAGATTTTTGACTTCAACCAGTGTCTATAATTTATTTTCTTTTGTATTACAGAATTTTCATTTTTATTATGTTAATACTTTAAATTTATACTCTCAATATTTTTTAAATCTACCTCCATTTTCACCATTTTTAAGTGTTGTTTTTTTGTACCGTACGTATCTTATTCTGGGGTTATTTCTATATGCCCTCAATGGTATAAAATTATTTTTTAGTCATGACCTATTCACAATAAAGCTCAGTCATTGTTAGAAGGTATCTTTATTTTCTCATCTTTTGGGGAATGATTTTCCTGAGTATATACATAATTCTAAATTGACAGTAATGTTTTCCTAGCTCTTTGAAGGCATCATTCCACTATCTTCTGGTTCCATTGTTGTTATGCTAAGTTATCTGTAAACAGAGTTATGCTATTAAACCGGATCTCTTAAATAAATATAAAAAATAAATGTTTTATAATGGTTTATCGTGTTTGATAATTTTCATGGCTCTGTTCTAGCTATCAGTGTGACACCCCTGAATGTGGAGTTGGGAAATATGTGCAAAATAGGTTTTGTTTCTTTTTAGATAAGTGGTTTCACTTCATTCAGGCTGACTTTTTTTAGTATAGACTTTTCTTTTGATTTGCTTCCCTCCCACTCTTCATTCCACCTGTATTACTTCTCATTGAATTCTTCTCTACCAGCCTGCATAAATTCCATAGTATGTATCTTTCCGTACTTCTATCCAGTCATATAAAATATATGCCTTATATATTTATATGACTTATAGTCATATAAAATATTCATATATATATGTACATATATGAATGTGCAGACATATGTATATATGGGAAAGCACCACTCTTTCATTTATTAAAAATAAAAGGATTGTATTACGTAAATTCTCTGAATTTTCCATTTCTCTCCCAATAATATTTTGGAAAAACAGCACTAAATTAATGTAACAAAAGATCATGTACACATAATTTATTCAATAATCTGTTTATTGATGACCATTAAATAATTTATCCCTAACAAAATGAGGCTGTAAATACCCTTTAAAGTAAAAACAAATAAACAAAACAAAAAAACATGATAAATAGAGGTGTTGATTCTTAATACTCCAACTGGGAATAGGGGCTTTGAGTTTAAAGAGCCTTAAATAAATGGGAATTTTTGTGTACATCTCTCCTCTTTGCCAAGGAAAACAGCTCCATCCTATTTAGCTGCCTGATCTCATAACAACAAAGAGCCCTCTTGTGCCCTATTGTGCTAATTCAGGACCAACTGAGTGAAAGGGTCTGTTGAGCCCTTAACAGCAGGGTAGCATTCCTTCTACTTAATTCCCCTCCCCTCCCCACACTTTCCCTGGTGATTCTGTCTCTCCTCAGAACTAGAGCTATCAAAAATATCTAAGACACTTGATGAAAATGAATATTCCAGGGACCCTAATGAGTCAAATACTGGGCATGAGGCTCAAGCACTTGCTTTTACTACAAATCCTACAAGTGAATACAGCCTCAACACATAACCCAAGGATTTCTCAGGAGAAAATGATCGAAGAGGTCCATGGGACAGGAAGGGTGAAATAGAACCACTTAAAAAGATCCATTACCTGGATTAGAAATTATTCTGGTGCCAACAAAAATGAACTGAAACTCAAAATGTCATATCACTTTTATCGAACACCAAGATTTCACCTTCAATCAGTGCTCTTGTGATCTGACACTTTAAGCTGTCCTTTGTGAGCTGGATTCTTTAAAAGCACCTTCTCTGAACAACATATGTCCCAAACTCCATGAAATCTGCAGAAGTGATCCACATCTGTTTGAAACTGCTCAGAGAGGTCACGACGGATGCACCTATCCATGCAGAGAAACACCTATCAGGAGAAGCTGTGATCTTGATGGGAGTTCCTCTGGAAGCTAGCTGTTCCAGTTCTTTCATAAGTCTTTCCTCAAGCCCAGGGAAGAGAGTGGTGCCCCCAGACAGTACAATTTCTGCAAAGAGATTGTTCTGGATGTCTATGTCACACTTCATAATGCTGCTGGCAACCATCGTTGAGAGTCCCGGGCTATGGATGCCCAGTTTGTCAGGTGCGAAAAGAATCTCAGGCACCTGATACAGCTGATCCCCAATGTAGATGACATTCCCATCTGGCAGTCTGTATTCTCTCAGGACCTCCTCTGGCCTCTTATATAGCGACTTTTTTGGCTCCAAGGCCACATAGCACAGCTTCTCTTTGATGTCATCCACTAAGGTCTTGTTGAGTATGCAAGGGAAGGTACTCCCACCAGCAAGGAGTAGCTGGGTCAAGTGATCTGTGATGTCCCTCCCTGCCACATAGAGCTTGGTGACAGCATGAGGCAGAGAGTAACCCTCGAAGATGGGGACAGTACAAGTGACTCCTTCCCCACTGTCCACCACAAGGCCCGTGACAGAGGCATAGGCATAGAGTGCTACCACTGCATGGTTGGACAAGTAGAAAGCGGGTACATTGAAGGTCTCAAACATTACTTCTGTCATCTTTTCTCGAGTCTCCCTTGGGTTCAAAGAGGGCTCTGTCATGAGAACAGGCCGTTGATAGGATTTTACTCCCAGCTCCCATTCAAAAAGATACTTCCATAGTTTCTCCATGTCATCCCATCCTGTTACCAGTCCACGCTCAATGGGGTAGTGCAAATGCAAGGCCTCATATGTGTACAGGGCTTTTTCCCCCACAAAGTACTTTTTCTGATAGGGTTCTGATAAAGAAATGTTAAATCGAGGATGTCCCACGACAGAACTGATGACATGACGGGGTACAATCTCTCCAGACAGACCTGCTTTGCAGAGTCCCGATCCATTATCAATTATTACAGCTGGAATATCTAATACGTATCGGTTAAACATGTCTGCAGAATGCTCTTCTGAACCTCACCAAAATAGAGAACACTTGGCTATTGTGTGAGACAATAGGTGCCTTTGGAAGTTCTAAAGCCACAGGATTCCAAGGTTCTCAGGTTGTCTCTCAGGTGGATCTAGCAGGCTGTCCCCAATTCCCCAGAACATCCCATCCTCAATCCATGAATCTTGTCCCCTTTAAGGCATCTCAGGGCCTGCTGAGGCCGTTTGAGTGATGATTACTCCTATGTAACAATCTAGGCAAGGCAACAATTATCCTCAGAGAGCATCAGAGGGATTTTGAGAGGTGAAGTATCTAAGATACCAGTACTCCTAGCATGGTAAGACATAAAACAGAGGAAGGCAAACTCTACCTATGGACAGCTTTGATAACTCTGAACCTGAAGCAAAGCCCTGGCCTTAGAACTAGGTGAGTAAGCCCAGCTGTGGGGATCCCCCTAAAATGGCTTCTATGTTTAACTGAATTGCTGTTTGTGGGATGACAAAAAAAAAATATCTTTCCCTTTGTTAAGGGGAGAAACTAAGCACCAGACACAGGTTCAGATTGGACTGAGGGTGTCCATAATCCAATTCCAGAGGTGCTCAGGCCACCCTTTCTTTTATCCCCTTTTATATATGTTTTTAGCAGCTTTATTGAAATAAAGTTCACATATAACGCATGCATCCATTTACAGTGTACATTTTCATGATTTTCAGTATGCTCACTGATATGGGCAAACAACCCAAAAGTCAAGTTTAGAACAATTTCTTCACCTCAAAACCAAACAAAAACAGAAAATACCCTGCACCCTTTAACAATCACCCTCCTCGGACCATGCTCCTGAGCCCTAAATCCCATTAATATATTTTCTGTCTCTATAGATTTATCTCATCTGCCTTTTTAATATAAACATAATCATAATATTTGGGCTTTTGTATCTGGCTTCATTCACTTAGTATATTAGCTTTAAGGTTATTCCATTGTTTGGATGTAACACAGTTATTTTCAACTACAGTTGACTTCAATATTATTTTATATTAGTTTCTGGTGTGCTGCATTGTGGTTAGACATTTATATAATTTACGAAGTGATCCCCCCAGTTAGTCTAGTACCCACCCAGCACCATACATGGTTATTACAATATTATTGACTATATCCCCTATGTTATGTTTTATACCCCCATGACTATTTCATAACTACGAATTTGTACTCTTTAATCCCTTCACCGTTTTCATTCAGCCTCCCAACCACCCATCTAGCAAACATCAGTTTGTTCTCTGTATTTATGAGTCTCTTTCTGTTTTGTTTGTTTGCTTATTTTGTTCTTTTGATTCCACATATAAGTGAGATTATGTAGTATTTGTCTTTATCTGACTCATTTCACTTAGCATAATATCTTCTGGGTCCATTGGTGTTGTCACAAATGGTACGATTTTATTCCTTTTTTATGGCCTAGTAATATTCCATCGTATATATGTAGCACTTCCTCTTTATCCAGTTGTCTATTGATGGACACTTAGGTTGCATCCACATTTGGCTATTGTAAATAGTGCTGCAACAGACATAGGGATGTATATATCTTTTTGAATCAGTGTTTTGGATTTCTTCAGATAAATACCCAGATGTGGAGTTGTGGGTCATACGATAATTCTATTTAATTTTTTGAGGAAACTCCATATTGTTTTCCTCAGCGGCTGCACTAATTTGCAACTCCACCAAAAATGCATGAGGGTTCCCTTTTCTCCACATTCTCACCAACACTTGCTTTTTTTATTTATTGATGATAGCCATTCTGACAGGTGTGAGGTGATATCTCATTCTGGTTTTAATTTTCATTTCTCTGATGATTAGTGATGTTGAGCATCTTTTCATATGTCTATTGACCATCTGTATGCCCTCTTTGGAGAAATGTCTATTTAGGTTCATTTCTTTTTTTTTTTTTTTTTGGTGTCGAGTTGTATGAGTTCTTTATAGATTTTGGATATTAATCCCTTAACAGATGTATCATTGGTCAATATTTTCTCCCATTCAATAGTTTGTTGTTGTTGTTGTTGTTGTTGTTGTTGTTGTTGTTGTTGTTAATGGTCTTCTTTCCTGTGAAAAAGTGTTTTAGTTTGATGTGAACTCATTTTTTTCTTTTGTTTCCCTTTTTTATTGCCCGAGGAGATATATCAGAAAAAAAGTTACTAAGAGCAATGTCAGTGTTAACTGCCTATATTTTCTTCTAGTTTTATGGTTTTGGGCCTCACATTGAAGTCTTTAATTCATTTTGAATTCTTTATTTCAACAATTTCTGCACTAATATTTATTATTTTGTTCCTTATGCTTGCTTCAGTTTGCTCTTTTTTTTTTTTTAGGCAAGGTAACTATTAGTTGACCTCACAGATTGCAAGAACCTTGTCAGCTTACAATCCCTTATTTTTTTTATTTTATTTTTTACACCTACTGCTAGCTCCTGGTCTTCCTAGGTGTGGTCTCCCATCCAAGTACTAACCAGGCCTGACCCTGCTTAGCTTCTGAGATCAGACAGGATCGGGCTTGTTCAGGGTAGCATGGCTGTAGACTAGTTTGCTCTTCTTTTAACAGTGTGATAAGGTGGAAGGTTAGAATATAGATGTGATATCGTTTTTTTTTTTTTTTTTTTTTAATACAAGTCGAGATGGCTTAACTTTTCAACTTGGACAAGCTATTTTGCTTAATTGTTTGGTCAAACACTAGTCAATCCGTTACTGTGAAAGGATTTTGTAGATGTAATTAACTTTTAAAATTAGTTGACTTAAATAAAAGAGATTAGCATTTATAATGTGGGTGAGCCTCATCCAACCAATTGAAGGCCTTTAGAACAAAAACTAAAGTTTCCTGGAGAAGAAATTCTGCTTTAAGACTATAACATAGAAAACTTGCTTAAGTTTCCAGCCTGCTCATCCACCCTACACTCAAGACTTTATGTAGCGATGGCTTAATTTATGTGGCAGCTTAACTTGACCAAGAATGTTCAGCTATCTTGTAGCACATTATTTGTTAGTGGGTAAATGAATGTATATATCTAGTAGAAATTTGCAATTGAATTGGTTGATTGAGTAAAGAAGATTAGCCTCACCAGTACAAGTGGGCATTATTCAAACTGTTGACTAGAATAAAAAGACAGGGGAAGGGCAAATTTGCTCTCTGAAAGCAGGTATCTCCGGGATACCCAACTTCTCCTGCCTTGGAACATGGGACATGGGCACTCCTGCTTCTTGTACCTTCTGTACCTCAGATCAGGACTTTCACTATGGACTTTCCTGGTTCTCAGGTATTCAGGTTTGGGCTGGAACTACACTACCAGCTTTTCTGGGCTTCCAGGTTACAGATGACAATTTAAGGAACTTCTCAGTGGCCATGACTATGTGAACAAAATCCTCATAATAAATCTTTATCTATGTATCTATTCATCTATCCATCTTATTGGTTTTCTTTCTCTGAGATCCCTGACTAATACAAACATCAACTCTTATTTTTTTTAGCTTTTCTGAGAAATACTTAATGCACAACAGTTGTATATATTTAATGTATACATTTTAATGAGTTTAGACACATGTATACACCTGAGATACTATTACCACAATCAAAGTAATAAACAAATCCATCACCTCCAAAAGATTTGTGTCCTCTTCTTGCTTGTGCGTGTGTGTTAAGAACACTTAGTGTGAGATCTACCCTCTTAAACAAGTTTTGAAGTGCACAATATAGTATTGTCAAAGACAGGAGTTATGTTTTACAGCAGATCTCTAGAACTAATTCAACTTGTAATACTGTGAATATATAATAATTGAATGACAACTTTAAATTTCTAATGCGTAGATTTTAATAATCAAATCACAAATGAGGACAGAAAGCAAGAAACAAACAAACAAAAAGAAATAGACATCCCTCGATATCAAAAATTACTTCAAATATAAATAGATTAATTATCCAATCAAAAGTGGCAAATGGATGAAGAAGTAAAATCCAACCCCCCCAAAAAGATGTTTACAAGAGAATCACTTTAGCTTTAAAATACACATAGACTGAAAGTGAAAAGATAGAAAAACACATATTCCACACGCATGATAACCAAAAGAAAGGGCGAGTGTATATGTAAATAGAAAAAAAAATAGAGTTTAAGTCAAAAACTGTCTTAAGAAACAAAGAAGGTCATTATATAGTGATGAAAGTGTCAATTCATCAGGAATAGAAAACAATTATAAATATAAATGCACACAACTTCAGAGCACCTAATTGCATAACACAAATGTCCTAACAACTGAAAAGAGAAATAGAGAGCAATACAATAATAGCAAAAGACTTCATTACTCCACTATAAACAGAGGATAGAATATCCAGACAGAAAAATCAGTGGGCAAATGGTGGCTTTGAACAAAACTATAGACCAAGTAGACCTAACAAACACATGTAGAACATTGCATTCAACAATAGCAGATTGTACATCCTTTTCAAGCACACATGATACATTTTTTTCAGGTTAGAATATATGTTAGCCCACAAAACAAGTCTTAAAAAATTTAAGATTTAACGGCAACCTGGATGGACCTTGAGGTAATCGTGCTAAGCAAAATAAGCCAGATTGAAAAAGTTGAAAGTCACATGATATCACTTATATGTGGGATATAAACCTGAAAGCAACAAATGAACAGGACAGAGACTCAGGGATATGGACAATGGACTAGTGGTTACCAGAGGGTAGGGTGTGGGGGAGGAGAGAAGAGGTAGACAGGGTAAAGGGGGTCAAATATAGAGGGATTGGGGGAGGGTGAACTGGGTAAAGGGGATCAAATATATGGTAGGTGAAGGAAACTGGACTCTGGGTGGTAATCATACAATAGAATATAGAGATGTCAAATTGTAATGTACACCCGAAAATTATATAATTGTATTAACCAATGTTACCCCAATAAACAAACCAAAAAAAATATTAAATTAAGATTTAAATTATATCAAGTATCTTTTCTGACTACAATGGTATAAA